TAGTGATGGTTTGAGGTAGGCAGTTATCATTACAGAATACCCAATATTATTTCTGTAACATCTACCGGTGTTGTGACTCCCTTCTCAGGCCTTAGCTAGATTCTGTGTCTAGACCCTGTATTCCCCCTTTACCCTAGAGTGTCAGTAGAGGAGATAATTAGGTCAAAGAATATATCGGACATTAATATCTTTGTGCCAGCACAGCATTCAGGATGTGCTAATATTCCTAGTCCCGATTAGCACTGAGGTAGGGCCACACATTTGTCCCAGTCATCCAGTCATCCTTTTCCTGTGGAAAATATTCTTTCTTGGCTTTCCCTTTTAATTAAAAAATTTGGGGATCCTCTCTTTGGGGGATAGTTCTGAACATTACCAAATAGTTTTATGAGAGGGAGAGGACACTTTTGATGCTTTTTCTTGAGTGTCTGGACATATTTTCTCTGTGTGTGTGTGTGTGTGTGTGTGTGTGTGTGTGTGTGTGTGTGTGTTGGGGGCTGGGATTTCCCTTCAAATTTGTTGCCTAAACTTACACTTAGTAATTTATGTGATTAGCATGGGCCTAGGGTTCCCCTAGATTACCTTTCCTGTTGAGCCTATGGATCTTCCCTTTAATAAACCTTTTAGCATCAAGGATATTTATTTTGTGCCCTAGAAGGTATGAAGTACACTCCCAATCTCCATTTTGATAGTTTGTCTTAGTGGACTCCCCAAATCATAGGATTTAGAATTGTCAAGTATCTTAGAGATCAACCAACCTTAGAGTCCAACCCCCTCATTTTGTGAGTGAGTAAACTGAGGCCCAGAGACAGGAAGTAACTTGCCCAAGGTCATAAAGATAATAATAAAGATTTGAGTCTAAATTTGAATCCAGTCCTCTGAGTCCAAATCCAGTTCTATCCTATGATGCCTCTCACCATTTTCCTTGTTTTCCCTACTCTTGTTTGAGAGCATGGTTTGAGGAAACCACAGAAAACCATGTAAAATATCAGTTATCTTCTCTTTCCTCAGAATAATTAAAGACAGGTGCCATAGTGGAAATTGCTTTTATCCTCAAGCAGGAAACTCCTAACTCTTTTAGGAAGGAATCGAGAGAGGTCTGCACTCTCAGCTTTCATTGAATTTTCTAACCCTATAGGAGAAAAAAAGTGGAGAAGGGCATCCCTTATCCTTGAGAAGGTCACATGATGGGGGTTCTTCCTTGGATGTTGGCTGTGGGATGTTGTGACTGTCTGTGCTGGGTCCTTGAGGGCTATGCCAAGGCTGGGGCAGGAGGAGAGATTGTTGGGGAGGAGCTGCTCAAGGCTGAGACTCAGCTGGGTTTCTCAGCTGGAGAACTCCATCCGTATCTTTTTTTTTTCTTTCTTTGTCTCTCCTGCTTGAAATATTACTCTCCCTAGGAGTATGGTAAATGACATAACAGGTTCCATACCATCATTGTCCTTGCCATACCTTACCCAGTGTTCTGAAGGCACTATCTCTGAGAACTTTGGGAACTTCTAGGAAGAGTAACCTCTTTGGGAATTTTCTGATTAAATGTAGTGGTTAAAAGTGGTCTGCTAAAGGCAGAGGTCTTTTGAGTGGTATCCTTGGAAGTCCTCCCTGCAAGAAATTAGTCTGGACACCAATAGAGATAGGAATGACTGCTGAATAGTAGTAGAGCTGAAACCCTTGGGTAGTAGGTGGACTTGAATAGCGGACTAGAAGGGGAGATAAGAGATTCCGTAGGATGTAAATGTCTGATTTTCCTAAAAGCCTTTCTCCAATAAAGCTGGGTCCAGAGTCCTTGTAGGATTAGAGATAGTGGAACATAGTACCTATTAAGCACACTGAGTGTTCACACTGAAGTGGGGAGGGCTATTAAAAATTCTAGGTGGATTGAGGAGATAAGAACTAATCAGAAAATTCTGAAAGAAATTGATAGCAGAATCCTGGAGAAAAGGTGTCTTTCTTTCTTTTTTTCACTCTGGCTGTATTAACATTAACTGGGGAAGCAGGCTGCATTTGACAACTGACTAGATCTGTGGAAAGAGTAGAGTATCACTAAGACGATGAGCACAGCTTTTGAGGGCCATGCCGTCTGGCTGAGCTAAGGTGCTTTCTCTTCTCTTTTCCCCCTCCCCACCTGGGCAGTGACCCGAATTGTGGCTGGTACACTTTGCTCCTTGCTCAGTCATTCTCGAGGCAGGGGGCACTGCTGTTTGCTTTTCTCTGAATCCTGACTCCAGCATTCTCCCTTTGATCTGTACCGACTGCCTCCGCCAAACTCTGCTATTGTCCTGCCTAGAAAGTTAATGTCTCTCTTTCCTAGGCTGAAGCTGTTGCTCTCACCTCTTGTGTAGCTTGTTCTTTAAACTTGGTCTCAGGGGTCAGTTATTCCAGGTAGAGGATAATAGAGTGATGCTCAGAGTGAGCGGCCTAATCTTGGTTACCTTTGGCTAGGTTATTTGTCCCCAAAGGAGGGCCAGATTGCTAGGACAACTTGTCTCTTTGAGGGAAATTTCTCATTCAGCTAATTAGTGTTATAGCCAGACGACTTTGAGTATATGTTTCAAGAACAGCATTCATGTGTGTGATGTAGGGTGGTTGGTGGGGGAGCATAGGGGATTGGTTAGCTTATCGATATGGCTTTAAAGTGTGACTCTACTGAATTCCTCAAACAGACCTCTGACTTCCTTTCCTCTGGGCCCTCTGGGAACGAGTACTCAGGGAGCAGTCAGGACAAGTGGAAAGAAGGGGAACATAAAAGGGAAAAACCCAAGGCAACAATTGTAGGACTAAACTAGTAGCCTTAGGAAAGGGGAGGAGGGAGGGCTAGCATGGAGGTTATGGGTTTGGACTCTGGCCCAGGGCAACCCTGGCTTCAGTGGCCTTTCATCTCTGACGTTTGGTTTCGAGGCCAAACACAGGGGCTGGGTAAAGATCATCCCAGGAACCTTTGAGACGGATTATTGAGGCCCCCAGCAGCTTTATGGATTTGCTTTGCTCTAAGAGGAGGGCAGAGGGAGAGTTGGCTCAAGGGTCTCAACTATTCTTACTAGGTAGGCTTTATCTGTCCTATTTGTTTACTCAGGACTGCCCATGCTAGGGAAGCTGTGTGTGAATGACTGAGGCATAGACCATACATATTGAAAAGTCTGGAGGAGAACCATGGAGATAGGAGTAGAGGCCAACCCTCGACCTCTTAGATAACAGAACCCTTTTGCTGAAGAATAGAGTGCCCCTTTGTGGGGAGGTGAAAGGGAGGGGGCAGAGGCCTTGGCCTGGGGAAGAGGATGTTTTAGGTCTAAAATAGGCATGGCCTAGGAATTCCCCTTCCCCATTTCAGTGCATTTCCCAGGGCCCCTGGAGGCAGGCTGCCAAGGGGAAGGGCTATTCCCTTTTAGTGTGAGTCTGGGTCAAAAGCATGACTTAGACTCCAGGCTTGTTTCCTAATCTCTAACTCCAGCCATTTAAAACTGCCTCTGCAGTGAAAAGTCCAAACCTGATAGAATCATACTTGGTGGGAGGGAACGACTGGCCAGAGTTTGTGTGGGTGGGTGGAGTAGGGGTTGGGGAATGGAGATGAGAGTGATGCTGTGTTTCCTGGTGATATCTCAAACCAGGTTCCTCAACCGCCTCTACCCTAGAAGGAAGTTGGATAAATTCCAAGAGATAGAGCTAAGTTTCTGATTCACAGAGGGTCACTTTGCCTTACTATTCTCCACTTCCTTCCTCTGCCCAGGCTTGGTTCCCAGGATCAATTATCCCCAGAACAGAGAGAATACTCACATTGCTTACTGGTGGGCCAGAAGGGTCTCTGTGCTGAGTCCCATGTGAGGTGGTAGTGAGGCTGCCCCCTTGGGCCCTGGCAGTTTGGCTGGGAGCCACAGTGTGTGTGCACAGCTGCAGAGGGAACAGCTTAGGGCCTGGCCAAGGATTTGGAGTTACTTGTAGTATTGGTAGGTGGGGTTGTATTGAGGAGATACCTAGGCATTAGCAAGAAAGCTTTTAGGGATGCTGACTTAGCCTAGGAAGAAGAGAGGACTTTGTATATGCTTTATCATGACCTCTATCTCTGCTACCATTCTGCTAGATGATGATGATGATGATGATGATGATGATGATGATGATGATGATGATGATGATGATGATGATGAT